TTTTAATGCTGATTCTGAATATAATAATCTTATTGAATGAAAACTTTGTTTTGACGAAGGAAATAGAGAAATACAGACAGAACTCCAGCTATTTTGTCCAAAATTTAGTAAAAATGATTTTTCTCGAAAAATAAAAGAAAGGAAAAAAACTATGCGTACTTTCGAATGCCCTATACGCATGCGAATAGCATGAGTTCGACTCCCCATTATCAACACAGTATTAGGATCAGATTCAATTTAATAGTGTATACGAACTTAGTTTTTAACACTGAATTTTAACAAAATTAATCGCACACGCAGAACAAGAGTAGAAAAAAATTTATACAAATTGGAAATAACTGGATTTTTGTGAAAAAAGCGACCTCTCTTCCCAGTTTTTGGATCAGCAGATCCAGCTCTATCGAACGATGTGTAAAAAGAAAGACAAGAAAAATCTTATTGGAGTTTCGACTTGTGTGCACTCTACTTAAAAGGAAACATGATAGTAAGTAATTGACTCGTTCTGCGTTGTATGTTATATTTCTTTTCTCAAACTATTGCTCTAATGTAGATTATAATTTCGACTCATAAAAATCTGTTTTTGTTTGTTTCGATTTCATATTTCATATAGTTCATGAGGTATCTTTCATTAACGTGTATCTCATAGTATCAATAAATTGTGCTTGTCAACGAAATAAATCTTCAAAATGTGTAAACCTAAGATATGAAAAGGATTTTTCACTAACAAATGGGCTTTTTACGTTTTGCTGCTTATTCTCAACTTTGATAAAATAAAAAGAAAGTTTGAATAGAATACCGACACAAGCTTTAGCATCTATGTAATATGTTTGAGCAGCACAGAAAAATTAGCAGTGTCACAGAATGAGATCGAACTTACGAAACTGATAATGAACGCATGAATTTTCAGTATTTTAAAAAAACCACAATGGAAAGCAAATATTCGATTCAGCATTTCACGTAGTCCATTTTCAATGTGACTTGATCATTCTTTGGATCACGTGTAAATTTGTTGGATTGCAAAAGTCTTCTTGAAGTTCACAAGAGATGAATTTGAGTAGCTAAATGAAATTATACAAGTTCGATACTTTTCTTAGGCAGGCGCTTAGCTATATAAAATAAGTAAATAGGAATAGAAGCACTATTGTAGTTTCTTCAAAAAAATAGATATTTTTACAAAAAAACGTTTCTTAAAAATTAGACAGATATTAACAAAAGTTAATATTTCTTATGTATTCCAAAGTGTGATTGTTTTTATTTTCGTCGAATAAAAAAAGGTCAAGCTGTTTATTATTTGCATCATTAAATATCAATATAAAAATGCCTTCATGGTATTTTAAAACCTAGAGATTGTCAATGTAAGACATCAGAAGAATATTTCAAGATAGATAGTTAATTAAGTTATGGAACAGAGAAACTGTTAGATGGATAATGTGCAGAAGGTTTCTTATGAACATTTCAGTTTATGATCTTTCATTTGTCTTAAGATACACGTGGTGGATAGCCATACTGTCCAATCAATATTAACTTTATAGGAATCCATGGCAGCAGCAGCATCAAGTAACAAGACCAATATATCCTTGCAGTCGCTTACTGATTGCATGTATTTCATCAACGGTAATTGCCGTAAAGGTGACAAATGTTCTTTTCGTCATTGTCGCTCTGCCACTGAACAGATGAATAAATGCAATAAATGGCCAGACATCTGCAAAAATGTCAATTGTCGATATCGACATCCTTCTGTGCAGCCAAAAACAGAAAAGCTTCCATCTCCTACGACCATCACTGCAGCTCTAACATCTCAGTCACCAGAGCGGATCGTCAGCTTTTTTTGGGATATCGAAAATGTGCCCGTGCCACGCTCACAAAAACCTTTTGATATCGTACAACAGATCCGTCAGCTGCTCGTCATCGAACCTGGATTAAGAGAGATCGGCTTCACATGTTACGGTGACATTAACGCGATTTCTACAGACAACCAGCTTAGTCTCGCGCACGCTAACGTTCGCATTGTTCACGTTCCTGATCGAAAGCCAGGTGGTGCCGATCGACAGATTCTACTCGATCTTGATCGATTCGAGCGCGCTTACCGACCACCGGCGACTATTGTTCTCATTTCGGGTGATATCGATTTTGTGGGTAAGCTCAGTGATCTTCGCCATCAAGTCGGCTTTCATGTCATTCTCATACACAACAAGCCTGCAAAGAAAGAGCTTAAAACAACTGTCAATGCCCACTATCCATGGGATAGATTTATCCAGCAATCACCACCATCACTTGATGGTCTTACATTGAAAGAGTCAACATCACAGAACGACTACATAAGCAAAACTAAAAAGTCACGTAGTCCAGACTCTTCTTCGTCTATTGTAACAACTGTCGAAGCAACTCCACAATTGTTTGCTTGTCCAGAATGTACTAATGAGTTCAAATCTGAACGTGCCCTTCAACAACATCAGCGTGACAAAGAACATATTTTCGAATGTCCAATATGCGTGGAAGATTTCTTCACTTATGCAGCTCGAATGCAACATCAGTATGCCAAAAATCATCAGGAGAAGTCTGTGACCAAGTGTAATATATGCCAGAAAATTTTGAAAACAGAAGAAGTCGTTCCACACATGGACGAAACCAGTCATTCCTCCTTCAGCTCTGGACCGCCATCGATGTTCCCACCGATCTCGACTAATATCATAAATGATCTACCATCGAAACAAAAGTTCATTTGTCCAAAATGCAAGAAGAAATTCAACACTGAGAATACTCTGTTAGAGCATCAACGCGACAATAATCATCTGTTTGATTGTCCGAAGTGTTCTCAGTGCTTCTTCTCATACACAGCTCAACGACTACATCAAAGGCAAGAGAAACATGAAGGATCGGATTTCACTTGTATGTCATGTCATCAAACATTCAAGTCAAAAGCTAGTCTTAATCAACACAAGAAAGTCAGTGGTCACTTGGATGTCATCTTACTATAATAGTTCATGCTGAAATCAATAATACTCTTTTTATTATTATTTAATCAACTTTTACCTGTAGTTTTTCGTTTTTTTTAGATCCTCACCAAACATAATAGTTAATCATCTATTTATTTCTCAAAAACTGTGACAAAAATTTTAACTTCTGTCTAGAACAACATGTTTTGTAATCATTTTACTGGAATTCAACTAAAAATAGAGAACCGTAATGCGATTATATACCCAAAAAACATGTGATAGAAGTTGAATGTTTGTTTATTTTTGTCATCAGCAGTGAAATATTTTAATTGCAATAATATTTTCACTATCAAATATAGTATTTCCTCTAAAATATGAAGACTTTAAATCTAGTTTTACTAACTTAATTTTTCTTTGCAATGTTTCGTATTTTATTTTCTTTTTGTACGAAAATAAAGGGACTAACAATGACGAACAAAAACTAGAGTGTGGGTGTGAAGGTGTGGGGTGGGTGTGGACGTAGACCGTTGAGACAGACACCCACACCCGCACTCGCAGCCACAGGGTAGGTGTGGGTGGAAGGTATGGGTGGGGTGTAGAAGTGGGTGGTTGTAGGTGTGAGTGTGGGTACGGGTCTGGGTATGGAGTGTGGGTGCGGGTGCGGGTGTGGAGTATGTGTGTGAGTGTGCGTCGTGATACTGTCCTGGTTCCACCCACACCCCACACCCACACCCACACCCACCCCAACCCACACCCACACCCACCCCCACCCCCACCCACACCCACACCCGCCACCCACACCCACACTCACCCACACCCACACCCACACCCTTTTTGACGCTGCATCTCGTGGTGTATTTTGTTTTTTTAATGAAATGTATTACGTAATGAAAAGATGAAATGAATTATTCGGGTAGAAAAAAAAATGATCTTTTCACAGCGTCGAAAATCAGTTGCACAGAATTTTGCTTTTTTTTGAAAACAAAAAGTGCACAATTAAAAGGAGCTTTACTTTGTAGATTGTAGAACTTTTCACGCTCCATCTTGTGACATTGTTTTGTTTTTTAATACAAAGTATTAAGTGATGAAAAATTGAAATGCAAAATGCGGCCATTTAATCTGCCCCATCTGTTATTTTTTGAGGATCAAAAACGCATGTAATAAACTTCCTTTATTGATGCTCTTACTTCTTGAGCTAGAACCTTTATTTTTACACAATAAGTGCACTTTGACATGCACTTTAAAATGACTATTTATTTGTTGAAATTGCTCAAATAGTTGCAAAGTTATATCGACAGCAAAAATGCCGCGAACCTGTTTCCCATACCTTATTTGTTATCAGGAGAGAAAAAAGATGGGCTTCAAGCTTTGAAGACACATGATGAATTTGTGAGATATTGTGAAAGTTTCACAAGGTACCACAACATTGAAAACATTAAAGAAGTATTCATTGGTAGTTTCGAAAAGTTTCAAGTATCATCCTAGGATAGTCGTTAAAAAATTAAGAGTAAAACTTCTTGTTAGCCCCTGAAAAAGTTAAAGGTATCACTCTAAAATACTTCTGAACAAGTTTTAGTATTAGCATAAGAAAACTCCTAAAAAATCTTAGATAGCTTATCAGTCTTGGATCAATTCGTGTTTATCTAAATCATTGCTCATAAAGAACAGTCTTAATCGGCCATTAGCTTCTTTTTTATTTTGAAGTGATGAAATAGACCTGTTATCGATCTAGATTCTTCTTATTTTAGTAGTCAACTAGGTGCTATATGAATTTGATCGATATTATATCGATTGACAAACCATCGTCACTAATTTCAGTTCCAAATTGTTAGATCTAGTCATTGTTTTCAAAGTTCAATATGTTTATAGTTGTACTAATCGATCAATCTCGAACAATATATATATGAAATACTTCTTATGAAATCCCTTTCAAATATTCACAACAATCATAAGACAAAATGAAACAAAATAGAACCAATAAATAAATAAATGGGTAAATAGGTAAAAGTCAACAAATAATTATCGATTTTTAATGTCGTTTTTGATTACTTTTAAAATAAAAATTTATGCCACGTTTTGCATATGATGTTGATTTTGCAATGATGTTCGACAATTTTGAGACTATGGAACACACATTAAGAATGAAATTATACAAAAAAAAAAAAGATTTTACTTGTTGATTCCATTGTGATACAATAATAATGGGTCGAGGATAGTTAACACCAAGCTCTACACTAGCATCTTTGAGCGTGTGAAATGGAGCTAACCATGGTGTTTGAATATATTCATTTGGTAAACGAACTAATTCAGGACACCATTTACGTACAAATGTGCCCTGTAACAACAAAGTTTCATTTCTTCTAAATCATTCATAGTTATCTTACATTAGAATCATAATCAAATGCTTGTTTAATCATATTAAAATGTCGATTTTCTCTTGGATTATTTCCAACACTAGCTAGATACACCCAATTTCCATAGTTTGAACAAACATCATGATCAATCTAAATAAAAACAGAAAATAATTGATTAGAAGTAATATTGAAAGGCAATATAATAAAAATCTTACCAAAATCAATTCAAATCATACTGCTCCATATCTAACATATTAAAAAATATTGATTAATATCTTTCATTTTCAATAAGATAATGATCAAAACTAACCGCCAATCGATACCAAGATCTTTTGTAAGATAACTTGCAACAATTTGCCTACCTCTATTTGACATCCAACCAGTAGCCATTATCTCACGCATATTAGCATCAACAAATGAAACACCTGTATTTCCAGCTGTAAAAAAGAAAGTAAATTCATTTAGTACATCATTTGAAAAGACTTTAATAAACTCTTAATATAGATTCTAAAAATGATTCTTAGAAAAATTTTTCATATTGAATTCGAAAAAAAACGTACTTCTCCATGCTTCAAATTGTTGTAAATCATGTTTCCACATATATGGATCTGATTTAAGATCACGTCCATAAAAAAGACATGTACCATATTTCATAGCAGTAAATTTGAAAAAAATCACGTCAAAGCAATTCAAATGTAATTCAATATCCAGCATCAGGTATACCTTGTTCACTTTCATATCTTTTTAATTCAAAAAAGATTTTACGAGAAGATAATGATCCATTCGATAGCCTCATACCAGATTTAAGTTATACATAATACATATTTAAATATATATATATATGAATGATTGGAAAGAGATATTATCAGACCACGGAGAAAATTTTGTTGAATTTTCTGAATCAGTCAAACTATTTCGTGTTTGTTTGTAAGATAGAACTAAATTTTTTTCCCAAACATATTCTTGTAGATGAGCAAGTCCAAATGATTCACCACCTTTAAATGAAAATACACTATTAGGATGCACAATCACAATAAGTAAAAGTAAATAATCTATCGTACTTGAATATCCAAAATCTGTTAAACTTGGTATAGATGTTATAACACAATCATCTGATAATGGTTTAAATGTATTAGAAATATTGATCAAACATCGTACTCGAATACTTTTTTTATCGAGTGTTACTCGAAATTGTGTAAATACATCAGGAAACCTGATGCAAAGAATATCGAATTCGATACTAATAAGAGAAATGTATAAGCAACATACGCTTTCGGATTATTATATGGTAAATCATCAGGATGATATAATGTTGATGTCCAAATGTTATTATCATGAGCTAATTGACGCACTACTTTTTCAACATCAGTTTCTTCTTGATGAAAACCAATCGATATTTCAAACTTGTCTTTGAATTGTTGAATCAATTGAGAGATCCATCGTTCGCGATATACAATTTCAATATGGGTGATGCATATCTCCCTTTATTAATCAATGATGTATTGAGATTTTCAATTGTTTCAATTAAAAATTTCAGTCCATACTTATCGCATTTATATATTTTATCTGTTATTTGACGTGAATCAAACCAGTACATATGAATAACATAATCGTTATTTGTATGAGGCCATACAAGTATCTGTATAAAGAAATAAACAACTTTCAAGCAATCGATCTACTTCATTATCATGTAATCGTAGATCATTTCGAAACCAAACAATACCAAGTCGTTTCGTTATTATTCTTCAAGAACAAATGTTCATCTTTCATCTAACTCCTATATTTTATTTTAAGTTTTTTTTCTTTTTTAGAAAACATGTTGAAAAAAATAAATAGAAAAAAAAAAAGATGACAAATCAACAATCAACACCAGAAAATTAAAGGTCATGACGTTTAGTAGTGCCTTGAGTATAAAGTGATTCCACAAAATCCCAATTAATAATACGCCAAAAGTTATCTACATATTCATTACGACGATTTTCATAAACAGGATAATAAGCTAAACAAAATCAATATATCATTATTATAGATTTCTTTTTCTATTATTTCTATACTAACCATGTTCCCAAACATCAATACCTAAAAGAACAACATGATCTTTGTCGAACATAATTCTAAAAAAAAATTATTTTTACTTGATAAATCAATAATAAACAAAATTTCATATTTTACTTACGGATTATCTTGATTAACAGTAAAATTTATAGCAAGTTGTTTTGTTTGTGCATCAACAAAGAGCCAAATCCAACCGGAACCAAAAAGATTGATTGATGCATTAGTAAACATATCTTTGAATTTATCAAATGAACTAAAACTATTTTCAATTGCTTCAAGCAATAGACCTGTTGGTAGATTTTCAGCAGCTGTAACTGTTGGTTTACGTAACATTGAAAAGAAAAGTTTATGATTAATAAAACCACCACCATTATTTCTTAATGTTAATTGATATTTTTCTGGTAACTCTTGAAGATGAGAAAGAATAACTTCAATTGGTTGTTTAACCAAATCTTTTAATTGATCATTAGATGTTTCATCAATTATAATAGATTTAAGTACAGCATTAGCTTTTGTTGTATATGCTTGATGATGTTTATCATGATGTAATTTCATTAAATGTTCCGAAAGAACTGGTTCAAGTGCATTATATTCATAAGGTAATGGTGGTAAAATAAGTTCTGTTTGAGATTGAACATAATTAACAATAATAATAAGAAAAATAATATTAATCAACATGATTTATCTACAATATTGAATATCATCAAGATTAAGAAAACTTGTTCATTCAACAACAATAATAATAGTAATAATAATAATAATAATAGAGAAGAATAATTGCACACAACATACACATATTAGATAAACATGAGACAAAAAAAGAAAAACAAAAAAGAAAAATTATCAGACTGAACAAAAGAAAAATTTCATTTCCTGTTGTAAAACTGTTCATCAATTAACTAAGATTTTTCACTTAAAATTTTTCTTCGTTCAATAAAATTATTTAAATTAGTTGTTGATATTTGATATTGACCAGCATGATGAAACCATTCATTCACTAAACATTCACTTGCTGATGGACGATTACTGGTAAAAAACAAAAACAAAATTTATTTTTACAAAGTAGTTCATATATTATAACAAGATCTTATTGATATACTGTCTGTAATTGAATATAACAAATAACAGCTCTGAAACTGTTAAGGTATTTGTGGAAACAGGGATTCGTAAATTTCCTATCCTATATAAATCTTACCTTGGTTCACGAACAAAAATCGTTTGAATTAGTTCTTTTGCTGATTGAAATGCATATGGAAATTGACTTTCAGGAAAATTATAATCAATATTTATTATATTTGCACATGTTTGTTCATCAGTTTCATCAAGAAATGGTGAAAGACCTGATAATAATGTATATAAAATAACACCGAACGACCTTTGAAAATAAAATTAATTATTTAATACAATAAAATACTGTTCTTTTGTTCTAATTTTATTTTACCAGATATCTGTTTTATAATGAACAGGAATATTTCCATTAATTAATTCTGGTGCAGCAAATTCAATATTTCCACTCATACGATGAATATATTTCATATTTGATAAACGTATTGAATCACCAAAATCACATAATTTTATTTGATCATATTCAATATTAATAAGAAGATTTTCTGGCTAAAAAAAAAAACAAAACAAGAAAATTAATATTAAAAAACAAAAAAAAACTTTTCAAACTATTTACTTGTATATCTAAATGAACAATTTTACAATTATGTAAATAATTTAATCCATCTAATAATTGTCGCATATATTTTGCTATGTTATGTTCAATTATTATTGATTGTAAACAAAGGTAATCAAATAAACGTCCACCGGATATTCTATCAAAAGAAAAATATTCGAATTATAGAATAATCTTAAGCTTTTTCTTTTTTTCATCTTACAATTCGGAAATAATTATTGAAAATGAATTTGTTTCAATAAAATGAAATACTCGAATAATTGAATCATGACGTATAGATGAAACAAGAGCATATTCATGTAAAGCACGTTCATGTGAAATAAGTTTTTTTGATATTAATTTTACAGCACACACATCACCGGTTGATATATGAATACATTGACGAACAATTGAATGACGTCCTCTATTATAAACAAAAATAAAATAAAATCTTCGAACAAAAATAATAACTTACCGAGCTATTTCATTCACTTCACGATATTCATTTGGTCGATATCTTGATGACCAACGAATTTGTTCAAGTTTATGATGGTCATTTGAATCTAAAAGAATTATATTAGACTCAAACATACTTCGATGAGACTAAAATGTAAAACATAATATAGCTGCTACAGATAATTGCAGGAAGATCATTTTTATTCACTATTCTATTGCTTAAACATAGATCCACAGTTTTTATTTTGATGTTATTGTTGATTGAACGAATATAGTTTACCGATTAACTGTTCAATTATTGTTTTTTTTCTTGATTAACATGATACTCTAATCAACTAATTAGACTGCGAGTTAACTTTCTTTCTGAGAGTAAATAATAAATAGCTAAAAGTTTGATCCTTCGCATGCTCATGTGCATACAGACCGATAGACTCGGACCTATATCTGACTTCACTTCTTTTACATATGAATTCACTTACCTTTTACTTGAACAGGAATTTGTTGTGAAACAGTACCTTGAGTACTTGTAGCTATACATTCATATATACCGGCATCTTGCATAGATACACAACGAATCTAAATAAATATTTTATAATAATTGATAAATGATCTCATATTAGATAAATACTTGTAAATGAATCGTTCCATCATCTCCATAATGTGTATGTATATTTGCACTATCATCAACTAATGTATGACCATGTGGATGTTGCCAAACAATAGCTGGTCGTGGATTACCAATAACATGACCTTGAAGAATTAAAGATTGACCAAGAAAAATATTTCGTTCATGCGTAGATATATTCAATTCAGGTCCACAATAACGTAAAACACCACTAAGACGCTAGAAATAAAATATATGAATAGAATGAAAATTAAATTTATAAACATATATGAATATATATATATATATATAACATGAAGAAGAAAGACAAAGAAACGATATCGAAACAAACAACATATAAGCACAACAGAAAGATAAATACACAGACGATTACATCATATATATATATATCTGTTTTAAACATCAGTACTTTCCATCTCCCTGGATAATAATCAAGGTCATTTTTACCAATCGTTTGTTATTGTTTTGTATCAAAAGCATTTAGTTTATCGTATATATATATATAAATCTTTTTCTTTCAAAATGTATCTTCATTCAATCTCATATTTTTAATTGATCATCATTAATATTTTGTCGGAACAAAAATAACAGAGAAAAAAAAATGAGAAAAAGAAGAAATAAAACAACATGTTTGCGTGAGCTGCTATATAGTACGCGGAGCGAGCAGAAGAAAGAAAGAAGAAAAAAAAAACAAAACCACACAATGACATTACACATACATTAGTTTTTTTTTGCAAATTGAGAAAATACACAAAGAAAAAAAAACACACACAAATACAAACAAAATATAGTATATAATACATAAAGAAAGATATAGCATATTTGATTGCTGCTCGCATAAAAAAAAAAGAAGAAGAAGAAGAAGATTATAACAGAGATTCGTAACCTCGTCTTGCATACACACTCGTAGAGAAAGAAAAAGAGATTTTATTATTATTTTTATACCTTGTCGCAAGTACTCGTTTGAGGTTTAGGAGGTAAAGTTGATTCATAAGTAATTGTTGGATGATGAGTTGTCGATGTTGTTGTTGTTAAACGATGAAGACTATTAGCTGATAATGATGATGTCGGTTGTTGATGTTGAGAAGATGATGATGATGATGACGGTGGTGGTGGTGATGGAGATATATTATGATGTATAATTGAATTAGGATTTTTAAGTCCAAGAACAAAACCTGGTATCCAACCTTCAGCTGCTGGTGATGTTCGATTAGCATCACGATGAACAAACCATCGATTATCTTGATTAGCAGCAACAATTTGTACATATTCACCTTTATGAACACATATTTCATCTTCTTTTATTGCATTATAACTATGTAAACAACGTGCTTGTTCAGGTAATTGTGTATTTGATGTTGTTGATGATGATGATGATTGTGTTGTTAATTTTTTTTGTTGTGTTATATCATGATGTGTTGAAGTATTTATTGTTAAAGGTTTTGTTACTGAACGTTGTAATATTGAATCAAATAAATTAAATGTTGATTTTTTATTTGTATTTTCTACTGTTGATGTATCAGAATTAGATAATGTTCGTGATGGTGATATTAATGAATTAGTTAATTTAGGTGATGTTGATAAATGATGTGTTGGTGATAAGGATTCAGGAGATTTAGTTGAACGATCAGACATAGATTTTTTAATTTGATTTCGAGATATTGGTGTTACTAGACTTGGTATAAATAAAGACATGGACGAGTCTTGCCTAAAAAATATTAAAAAAAATTTAATTAAAAAAAAAATTCAAAAATTTATTTTATTTTGTTTTTTTAGTATTCAAATCAGAGCAGAGCGCATAAAAGCTTATATCAAATAAAAAACAACCACAAGCTCGCATGAGCAATTTTAAAATTTTCTTGCTTTTTTTTTTTTTTTTTTTATAAATATCACATATTGGAATGCGATGAAACAAAGGTATGAGCACTAGTGGTAAAATGTCGTCGACCTGATTGTCGCCATTCGGGTAATTCCCATGTCAATAACCTATGATTTACATTTAACATACATAACATAAATAGACAAAAAAGAAAATGAAGAAGATCAGGCAGGTTTAGATTGGAAATAAACAAAAAGAAAAAAAAAAAACATGCAAACAAGACTAATCATACAGATAAAAAAAGCTTGGGAATGGAAAATAAAAACTGGTAGTGATAATAATAATGTATTAAAATAAAGATGCACACAGAGACCATTTAATTTTTTTTTTTTTTTTTTTGTATCTTACGGAAAATAATTTTTTTTTCTTTTCTCTCTCATTGATCTGTGTATGAGTGTGTATGAGTATAATGTATGTATATAAATATATATATATATATATATATATGAATATTAGTTTTACTTAGAACGAGGACTATTAGATAAATTAGAATAGAAGAAGAATATGAAAATAGAATTAATTAATTAATTAATTTTAAAAATACTTACTCTTTTTGTAGAGCAGCTGTTGGATTAGTTAGAGCTAAAAAAAAAGAAATTTAAACAAAATATATATATATTTTTATTTAGAAGATTTTTGTAGATTAAAAAAAAAAGAAACAAATCAATACCTATGATAAGATCCATCTGACGTTGAAGCACTTTCTCTACATTAGTAACCCATAATTCATATTGTTCATCATCTTTACATTGACATATAACTCGACGTGTATTACCAGCATCAACTTCGACTAATATAAATTGAAATAATTCTTTATTACGTTTAAATTCTTTATGTTGTAATTTATTAATCTTAATAAAAAAATAAAATTTTTTTAGTTTTAATAAATATTCTATTTTTTTTTACTTTTAAATCATATTTATAAATATAATTTGGACTTGAATATTTATCTTTAGCTGGTATTTCTTCAGAAACAACCATAGCTTGTTGAAATAAAAAAACTCGTCGTTCTTTTAATTTTTTTTCAATTTCTTTTATATCTTTTGTTTCTTTTGTTATTGGTTCACTAACAGATAACATATCTTGTAATTTAAGTTCACCTAATTGATGTACATTAGTTGGTAAATCTTTTATACGACCAACATTCATCATATCATTAGCTAAACGTGGTACTTCAATCATAACTTGTAAAGCACTACGTATTGCACGTGATTCATCACCCATACGATCTGTTGATTTAAGAATTTCTTTAAGTAATAATTGATAACGCATTATTCGTTGTACTGGTTTTATTAATAGATCTGATACAAGTAATTTTTGACCGAGTTTTTTACGAATTTCCTGAAGAAAATTCAATCATATATATATATGTGATTAATAATAGAACAAAAGAAACCAAAGGAAATAAATATAAAAGTCGGAAACAAAAATGCAAAGATTTTTCTATAAAAGCCAAAAAAAATAAAAATAAAAATATAATTACCGGAAATTACTTTAGATTTATATTATCTTTTAATTCTAAACTATAATTTACTTCTGATTCAAATAAAAAAAAAAAAGTACCTAAAATGTTAATCTCATAATTTAACCTCGAATAGAACATGTAAAACTCTAATCGTAAGAGCTTTCTTCAAATGAGAATATATGTCAACATAGAAAATAAGTTATTTATATCTCGCATTAATTTAAATCATTTTTCTTCCGTGAAAAAAACCTTGTTCTAATTAAATTTTCATCATTGAATCACAATATATGAACTATAAACTTTTAAGAGATTAACAGTAAAAATTCAGCAAAATGTTAAAAAATACTTTTTTTTTAACGTCCTAAGGAAAAAAAAAATTTTAGTATTTATCACATTGTTAATTCTTTGTATTAAGATCTCTTTCGGCTACGTCATATATATATCAAAATTTAGTCAGCATATTATTAAGTTTCACAGCTGCAATAATTCAATGAATATGTTGTTCGACATATATTGCAAACCTCAATACCACGAACTATGTACAAACCACTAATAATTATTTGTTTCAAATCATGCTGAGTAAGTTATGACATACAGCTGCTCTTATAGTTAGAGTTTTATAGAAAGGTCAAGCAGTTGTATGAAAGAACTCGACATTAAGCTAACCTTCTGTCTAAAATTATAGTTATAAAAGAGATATCGAACTATTGAATTAGCCGCTAGGCAAGAATATTCTTGTTTCTTCTTATAAGTCTCTTTTCATTGCAATCCGTTCGTCTTATCGAGTAAACACTTCTTTATAAAAAATGTTATATAGAACTAAGTTGTAGCTTTTATCCAAGTGATGCTATAGGCATTTTGTCAAGAGCTCTTTGCTATGAAAAAAAAAACAAAAACTTTGTTTTTTGGTCAAAAAAGAAAAAAATTCAAATTTTTATTTATAATAATAAATATGTACGAAAAAAAAAAAAAATTTTTTTTCGTTCAATATAATTCAAAAGCTTTTGACTTATCGAATGTAAATAAAAATTTTTTACTTCAAAAGATTTTTTTTTTTTTTTTTTTTTTGTTACAATTATTTCCTATCTATTGCGGAAATTGTTAGTTGAGAACAGCATGAATGTTTTTTTTTTCTTCTTCTCTCTAGACGTGATTCTTTTATTCATAATAGAATTTCCAGTTTGTCTCATATTATTTATCGGTTGAATTCATTTATAGTTTTGTTTTCTTGAATTGAAAAAGGAAACGTTTATGTTTAACAATAAAAGAAAATTTTTACAATAACTAATTATATATATATATAACTTTTCCAAATGGATGATCTTTAATTATATTTCTAGGAACGTATAATTGTATAGAATTTTTTTTTTTTTTTTAGTCTTGTTTAATTAAATAAAAACTTACTTCAAAATAATCATGATATTCCGAAACAATATATTCTGAACGTGGTTTATTTTCACAATATCTTACATAAGGACTAAATCGATTTGTCTATAATAGTGAAAAGAAAAATAAAAAGATAATTTTCTTTTTTTTTTGCTTCTTCTTACGGTAAATAATCGACCGAGTATATCAGGATTTTCAATACATTGTTCAAGTTGTGGTAAGAATGTACTTAAAAAAGAAAAAGAAAAGAGAAAGATTGTATATCATAGTTAAATATTAATAAAAATTTTTTTTATTTATTAAACTTACTCTCGATGAAATTCATAAATTCTTTGTACATTACCAAAAACAACACGTTCAAGACCAACAAGACCTGTTGGTTTTTTAATTTCTTTATCATTTTCAAGAACATTCATATAACCCTACAAAATAATAATAATAATAATAGTAGTAGTAACATAAGTATTATTATATTATACTTCAACAATCAATGCCAAATCTTTGACGTATTCTTTTTCTGTTTCAATTAATTCAATAATATTATGTCTATAAATAACATATAAAAATATAATTATAATTATCTTTGAAGTTTAGTTTTTTCTTACCTTCGTTTTTCACCATATTTTGTTCGATCATCAACATGTTCATCATTTGTTGTTGTTGTTGTACTTTGTAGTGTTAATGATTGATCAATACTTGTATCAATATCATGTAAAGATATTTCATCGGTTTGTTCATTAAGATTATCATTTGGAATCACAGTTGATGTTGATGAAGATAATAATGAATTATTATTAGTTGTTATTATTGTTGATGGAGATGATGATAGAGATGATGATGAATATTGTTGTAGAATACTTGACGATGGCATCGAACTATTCGTTGTCGATACATCATTGACGGACGGTGTCGTCACTGACAAGGCAGTCGGAATATGAAAATCACTTACTGGAAGTCCGGCAACAATACTAATAGGTGCCTATAAAAAACAAAAAACAATTTTAAAAAAATGCTTTTTTTTTAATTTTTTCTTTCTCAAATCGTTTAATAATAAATAAAGAACATCTATAGCTTACAATATGTTGAACAAGTCGAGCAATAACCGAATTATCTTCGATTGGACTAACAGATGTTAATGGTGGTGCGCGTACTTTACGTAAACGCGATGATACATTTGGACTATTGGTTCTGGACGACTCCAGTGCAATCGTATTAACAAATTTTCTTACAACTGTATTGATCTCCGTATTGGTTTTTTTATTTTTTCAGTTTGTTTGTTGGTGTCTTCTTTCTTCTCTCTCTCTTTTGTTCTAAATACTGTTTTCTGCTTAAGATTTTTTTTTTTTTTCTTTGTAGTTGTGTGTTGTCGTCGAGCTGTCTCCTACCGAGCGGAAATGTACGCCCGTCGACTTTTCTCAAGTTAGTAGTAGGTGTAGTATTACTGATAGGATGTAAAAGACAAAAGGAGGACGAGAGAGAGAGAGAGAAAGAGATTCGCTCTCTTTCTTTTTACTATGTTAAGAGTATAAAAACAAAAAAAAAAACAAAAACTGCTCAAAACTTAAAAAAATGTGCACGACTTATATTTGTAATAATGTTGTCGTTGATTTTCCATTAAACGAAAATGTCATAGAAGATGATATTAGAACGTCGTCATTGTCGTCGATAGTAAACATAAGACAATCTTTTTTTTTTTTCATTCACTAACGAAGCAATAACGTAGCACAGTGGTAAGAAGAAGAAGAAAAAAAAAGAACTAAGAATAAGAGGGTATATGAAAGAAGACGAAGAAGAAAAAAAAAATGCGAAAAGAGAAGAAAAAAAAAAACAAAGAAAGAAAGAAAAACAGCTACTATCAACTGGTCCCGTTGTCGTTTGGCCTCGCTCGGTCGCCTAACATTATTATTGCGATTATTCGGGAGCAAGCGCGAAAAAATGCGGACGCCCATCATCGTTTTCTACTGTTCTTGCCGACACATTTTTCTATGTGTGTGTATGCGCAGGCGCGCGCGTTCCGGCCGATGAAGTATCAGCAACAGGAGAACTAGTAGCAACAAGCAATGCAATTAGATGACGAGAGAATTGAAGGAAAAGAGCCGAATATTCTCGTTTGTATACTGAACGACAATGTGTTGTTGTTGTTGCTTAGTTTGATATAAGTAATTGTCTCATTATTATCTATACATATTTTAACTATGATCATAATTAATGAACACATAAACATTCGACAAAGAAAATATTATTGACTAGAATATTTAATATGTATTTATTTGAACATTGTCGACATAAGAGTACTTTTTTTTTTTCTTTTGTCTATAAATTTCTATCTCAATTTCTCTTTTGTAGGATTCTTATTAACAACACTCTCTTGTTGTTGTTGTTGTTGTTGTTGTCTCTCCTTCATCTAAATATGTAATAGATGTGTTGAGATAACGCCTGCATTACGCTTAGCACTACAGTATACATATATATATATATAAATATATCTATATATATATATATATGTGCCGAAGAAATCGAAAGGAAAGAGAAGGAACGAGTAGTACTGCTGTTGTTACTAATTCTACTATTAATATAACTTCAATTTTTTTTTGACGTCACCTGATCTGGGTAAGAAGGGGGCGAAAAAAAGAATCCATTAACAAATATAAGTATGTAACGTATGAAAAAAAAAGGACGACGGATATAAACTCTAGTAAAAAAAGATCACATATAACTTACGAGTGATGAAGGTTCGTCAGTAGTAACTTTATCAATATTTGTATCAGCAGATAATTTTGGTTGAACTTGAATATCCATGGGTGGTGGTACTTCAATAACATCATTTTCTAAATCATCACCAGCTAATGTAGTCGATGGAGATATAATTGTTGTTACACTTGATGGTGGTGATGATGATGATGATTCAGTCATTTTAAAAATACCATTCATACCAGCACTACCATCCATTAATTTATTTGATGAATTCTAACATAAAAAACGAAAAGTACAAAAATAAAATAGAATACATATTTTCATTGATAAGAAAATATATGATACAAAAAAAAAACAAAACAAAACAAAACAAGAAATATATATATATGTACTTCTAAGGAAGAAGAACGACAAGCATCTTCAACTCATATATGAATATATTCTTTGATCACCATGCTATTTCTCCTAGACACAAGTAGCATCGAATTACGCTTCTACTTCCTCTTCCATTCTCTTGGGTCTGATGGCGACACCAATTTTTCTTTTTTTTTTTTTTTTTTTTTTTATGTCATTTGATGGGTGCCGAAAGCGAGCATCATCACTTTCCGAGAGCGAGTTTTCTTCTTCTTCTTCTTTTTTCTTATTTGTTTCAACCAATGTGCGTGCTTGCTCAGTGTTAACATGGCAAAATACGTCAAAAAAAAAAACTTACATTTTTTCGAATAGTCGATTTTTTTGATGATGGTAATAATTTATATTTTTTTGTCCATGGAAGACGAGGCATCTTTCTATTTTTTTTTTTTATTATGTCTTAGTTTTTCGTTTTTTTTTTAATTTAAAGTCTATATGCTCACAAGTTAAATAACCTATCGAATATAGGCAAATAATCATTCAAATGACAGAAAGATGGCGATGTCAAACGAAAACATTACACATTATATAAAGAAACAAAAAAAAAATCAGAACCCGAATAAGAAGAAATTGGTTCTTTTCTTCTTTTTTGTACACGAAAGAAACTGAATATTTCGAGAATAAGACGAAAGAAAAGAAAAAAGAAACGAAGGTATGTATATATGCGCTTATTCATGTGATGAGGACAGTGACCAGTACTACTAGGTAAGACTCATATATAAAAGAACACGATGAAGACGACGTAACACAGATATATACATATACAATCACATCGATCTGCTTGTGTTATTCTATTTTTGTTCGTTCTCATTGTATATATATATTCACATATATGTGATTTAAGCCACCCTCGGGGCAAAAAAGAATTGCATAAGAGAAGAAAAAGTAAAGAAGTATTACTTCGATGCTACTAGTGAAAAAGTCAATAAATATAAAGAAATTAAAGTTTTTTATTTTTATTTTTTGTTTGAAAATAAAAACTTTTAACATTACAAATGAATGTCAAATGGGCATCAAGTTTTTTTGATTGACATCTTTAAGAAATAGTTGTCTTGAAAAATGAATGAGTCTATTATAATATTCTGACTTTTCTCACTCACTCTTCACTATTATCAAGGCTTCTTCTTCTTCTTCTTCTTTTTTTTTCAACATGACAAAACATAATTGCAAGCTTATCAAAAAACATATATAAAACGGAAATTGCTTCATCAAAACAAAAGATACCATACCGTATCATCAGGAAACAACGTCAAATCTTCGGAGTTTGTAAATGTAAATGCCTGAAAAAATAAAAATTTCTTCTTTTTTTTTTTTTTTAATTTGATTTATATATACTTTGATTTTTGATGATGTTGTGGAATTCGATGATATGGCTTGTTTTTTATTATTATTATTATTCGATATACCATCACCACTATCCGTTGATATAATAGTTGCTGATGTTGTTACTAATTCACGTGGTGTTGGAGTTTTACCATCTTTACTACTATTATTATCTTTTAAGCTAAGACGTCGAACAGGATTTTTAAGAATTCGCCTAATACAAAAAAAAAAAAAAAAAAACAATAATTAAGATGATCATTGATTGGTTTTTTTTTTTTTTTGTAAATAAATTACCTAAAACTAGCTTTACGTTTACTAAAATGAACAGCTGGTGATTGTTGTTGTTGTCTTGATTGAGAATCGTCTGTATTATTTAATATAGAATCTAAATAAATAAAATTTGTATGTTATTTGGTTTCTTTTTTTTTCAATAATAAAAGAATGAGAACAAAAGGAATATAGATATATATATATATATTTCTTCTATCGACAAAAGAAGAAAAAAACAAAAAATTTTTTTTTTCTTCTTATGTTCTATTCTCATATGGGAATACTAGTCCAATTCTAGAACAAAACTATTCTATATATTTGATTATAATAAAGAAGAATATTTCTACAAGATTAGAATAACTGATAACTGCATAAATATAATTTAAGAAAAAAAAAAAAAAAATTTTCTTACCTTGTTCAGTTTTATTCGTATTTGTTGAAAGAGCTAATGGTGGTAATGAATGAATGTTTGATGATGATGATTTAGTTGATTTAAGTATAGCTGCTGGTACAAGTCCTTCAATATATTTTGAAGATGTTGATGGTGGTGGTGATGGTAAATCAATTGAACCAGTTGCAATTGTTGTTGATGATGTAGCAAGTGATGATGAACTCGATGGATTATGTTGATCGTTTAATACACGTATAAGACACCAATCAGGTGCATGTGGTGGTTGTCGTTGTACGACACGAACGTGTTGTCCTTTACTTACAGTTAATTCTTGTGAACTACGTGCAGTATAATCGTCTAATACAGTTGTTACGTTCGAATCCTATAATAATAGAACCGTTAGTTTATACATGAAAGGAAAATACATATAAGAAAGTGTCGCTTTCTTTATCACTCTTCTTCTATATATATATATATATTTATCTCAACCGATTCTATATATGATCAATCAATCACTTAAACAATCAATCAATTGTAAAACTTGACTATCATTTATCAGTTTTTAGCTAGTTACCCATCGCAACTTCATCTTGCGCCAGAATTCCATAAAAATAATACAGGAAACACAAGAACTAACTGTAAAATGGCTTGATTTATTATTAGACGATGAATGAAGACAATCTTGTCGAGACAAAAAAATGAGTATAGATGACTTAATGAATAGCGACAAAACTGAAGTGTTATCTGTCTTTCCGTCCAGTCAAGTGTACGTCATTTTTTGATAGTCACGTACGGTGTAAGACGTTATTTGTGTAGCGAAGAAGAAAAAAAAAAAATGAAATCAGCATCGATGATTATTTATTAAATAATACTCTTCTCCCTTTTCTCTCCCTCTCTGTCTCTTGTGCGAACGCATGTCTTTGTATATGTGTGTTGTTGACGACGAACAAGACTCAGCAATATTGGTGTTAGATGGAGTAGTAGTAGTAGTCGACGTCCGTCCTTCATTTTTCCTTTCCCCGTGTATGCGCTACAACGATAACTGCTACTTCCATAATCAAAACAACGGCATCATTCTATTAATCATAATAATTATTTTATTTTATTCTTAGACTTTCTTTTTTTTTTTCGTCATCATTAAAAGGAAATAAAAAAAATTGCGTTTATGATATGAAAACTTAATAAAAACCTTCTATATCAGGCAAAACTTTTTATAAAGAAGACAAAAGAAAAAAAAGAAATTTTCTGACTTTTTCTTTCTTTTCAAGTCTTTTATACATCAATTATTTTATTATTGACATTATTCTTGTTGTTATTCGAATCAGATATGGTTCAGTTATTTTGGTTATGTATGTGTCAATTTATATATATATATATATATAAACTCGTCATACATTTTGTTGTCTTCAATCTTCTTTCTTACTCTATTTTTGTGTCTTTTGCTTTTTTTGTAGTCTCTATTGTCATCGTTCTTTCTTACTAGCTTACTCTCTCGTGCACAAAAACAGGGTTACATTCATTATTTCCTCATGAATGATGGGAGAAAAGGGAAAACCTGATGGAGACGCGTCAGCAAAAAAGCAAAAAAGAGAGAGAGAAAACATTGGTATAGAAGCAAGAATCTTATTTTGTCGTTGTTCAAGACAGGAAAATCATAGACTGAGAGGTTTTCTTTGATAAGAAGATGAAGACGACAACATCGGCAAATTTCAACACTATATAGACACTGCACAACACGACATACACGCCAAACATGCATGCATAGTTAATTCAATCGAAAAGAAGATAGAGAAAAAAAAAACGTGTGCATGCGTGCACAAATACACGCAAAGACTACCAATCAATCTGATGGCTAAAGCGAGTTATAAAACCAAAAAAAAAAAAAGAAAAACGTAAATTCAACTAATGATAGAGTTAATTCTCATTGAAAATGACGTGAATTAGTTGAAAGTTCTCTCTCTTTTTTTTTTATTTGACTTGTACTTCTTGTTTTCTAAAGAAGGTTATATTAGCCATATACATGTCCACAAATATAAAATAAGATGAAAAGAAAAGATTGTTGTGGCAGCAGCAGCAATAGTAATTATACCAAAGATCGTTTACTTGAATAAACAACAGCAGTCAATCTTTCCCTATCTTTTTTTTTTGCTTTTCTCTTCACAGGGGATAATCGTTGTATAGATATATCATTTTGAAAAACATAACATAACGAAAAAAAAAAAAAAAATTTTTTTACAACTTGTCAAGTGGAAATATTCTCTAAACATCTAATGAATATATTGTCATCTTAAATTAATCATCTGTCAATACATCTTAGATGAAACATCACATGTATGTTGACTTTCCTAAAAAACATATTTTCTATATATAAATATATGCTAAAACAATAATATATATATAGACAATCCCAAAGGTTTTATGTCACCTTTCGGAAATGCATAAATAGAACATATCGATAAAATCAACCTGCTAGTGGCATTATAAAAATATGGAATAATAAATGAAAGATATTAGATATACATGTTATTTTAATTATTTTTCTACTAAGTCTTTATTTTTCCTTGTTTTTTTTTTAAATATAATATTCTCCAAAGTTCTATTTAGATATGAACACACAAAAAAATTTTTTCCGTTAACAAAAAAAAAAAACAATAATGAAAATTATATACGCATCACTTATTTCAATAAGCTTCCGAAGAAAACAAAGTTTTTGCAAAATGAAGAATATGTTTACTGAGTAGTCTAGTTTTCTTATATATATATCTATTTTTTTTTCGTTTCCTTTTACTCAACAATAAGCTGCTATATGTTATATTTACACTTATACATACCGATGATATAATAATGACTGACGAGAAGACCTCCCTATTTAATGTTTTCATACATAACTGCGTAATCTAATGTGATGCACTGAGCACACAATATATATTAATAAAAAAAAGAAAAACAAAGATTTGCTTATTTCCGCCTACATATATATATATATAATCATCAAATTATTACATGTAAATATAAGCAGATATTAAAAGATGTGCTCTACCTTCCTGTGATGATGGGTTCGCAGGTAGTGAAACATTGTCGATAGAGAAAAAAGGTTGTGTACGTCTGTGCGTGCACGGATTTTCCTTTCTCTACGACGTCGAATCGCTTGATGATGATACGAGTATATGCACACAGGCAAACCAGGCAGGCAACAGATGTTGTTTTTTTTCTTTTTTTTTTTTCTCTTATATACCCCTCTCTCTGTCTGTTGCGCTTATCCACACACACATACATACATATATATATATATATATATATGCTTTTGTCGTCATCATCATTAACAACACATACCCACCTCGGACAAACGACGAATATCTTTGAGACGTTTTTTCATAGCATATATTGATGTTTTTATAGAACGAAGAAGGGCTGTAGTCGATGGTGTTGATGTAACAGGAGCTGATTCAGGTACTAAAGACGGTACAGTTGTAACCGTCTGTAAAGGGGAATGTGATGTTTGTAAATTTTTAGAATTTTTTTTCTCAGATAAATGTTTTATACGATTTGATTTTGATGATATTGTTGATAAAGAAGCTGATGGTGCTGATTTTGAACGATTATGTAAATCAATATATGATGATAATGAACGTTTTCGTCGAAAATGATATGGTGCTAATAAATTAATTGCCATTGGTGGTTGACATAATGGTGGTGTTGATGTTGGTGATATATACAATGGTGATGATCGTTTTGTTTTACGTTGTTCAATTTGAACATCTTGATAGATATTCTTTTCATCATCATCATCATCATCTGATGGTACTTGACATGATATATCACGAAAAGATGATCGATTACAATGTTGACAATCAACTAGAATTGGAAATGGATCATAATTATGATGAGATGAATTTTGTATAAAGGTTAAATTATCGTATTCATGTTGTTGTTGTTGCTGTTGTTGTTGTTGTTGTTGTTCGTCTTCTTCTTCATGTTTGGTTGTTGTTGTTGATGGATAAAAAAAATCCGAACCATACATTGATGATAAAGGTGCTAAATTGGTAGTATATGGAGAAAATAAAGATCGACGTTGAGTTTTGTTATTATCAAGTAAATTAATCAAAACCGGATGTTTATCAGATGATTTTTTATGACGAAATGAAGAAAACTGAACTTTGGTATCGGGCATTTTTTTCTAATAATTTCATAGGAAAAGAAGAAAAGAAAAAAAAAATAAAGATAAGACTTTTTCTTTTTTTTTTCCAGGGATATAGAAAAAAAAAAAAAACGGAAATTGTCATACATGGTATAATGAACATGATTGATGAAAAATTTAAAAAAATAACATCTAATCTTATTTCTATACTTCGTATGAGAATGTTTTCTATTGTTATAGACTTATGATTATAAAAAGATTTTATATTAAATTATTTCGATTTGAATGCACAGATTGAAACAATTGTAATAAAGATAGTTATAAAAAAAAGAGATATATTTTGAAAAATTTGTAAATACAATTTTCTGACAATAGATAATCCTTTTAGTAGATTTCCGAAATAAACAAAAGGAGAAAGGGATTAGACTAGCTCGAATGAAGATCTATACTTATATAATGGATTCTTTGTGTTTTTTTTTTTTTGTCGATAATTCGAATCAATCATGTTCATTTATTAGATTGAATTTTCTTTTAGCTATATAAACATTCGATATATATATATATATGTATTAACTATATATAATCGATTGTTTACAGAGCAAATGATAATGGAAAATTAGGGTTTAACCTTGGAAATATTTCTTTCTCACCTTTCTATCTAAATCTTCATATAAATAATTCTGATTATCAGTATTTAAAATAGTTGATTTAGGCGTCATAGATGATAATGGTTCATTAGTAAATATCATTGAATATGGTCTATGTACTGATATATGCTGATTTTTGATTAGATTTGGATCAACAAATGTTGATGAAGAACATCGTTGTCGCAATGTATTAAATAATGTATTTGATGTTGGCTTTTTCCAACGAGCTTTATATTCTTGTTTCTGACGGATACAATCATACGTTGATAGATTTGTTTTGTTGAAAGATGTATCTTGTACTGGTTCTCTTTGTATATTATTGTCATTAGTATTTGTTGACGCCGCTGTTGTCTCATTTGTCCAAGCATTTATTTTACGTAGAACTCGTTCGATCTTTTCTGATATGGTTTTTTGAGTTTTAGTTCGATTATTTTCATCATCATCATCGTCATCGTCATCATCATCATCATCATCATTATTATACCATTTACATATTGTATTTTCCGTATGTTTTTCTTCTTCAGTTCTTGTTGTTGTTGTTATAGATTTTGAATCGATTGTTATATTTTCTTCAATTAATACTGGACTAAATTTCCATCGATGTCGTTTCTTCTCACCGCTCATTCATTGAAACTGATCGTTTTCTTTATTATAGGAATATGCCATAATACAAAAAAATCCATTATAGAGAAAGACAGATTTCTTTTTTTTTTCTTTGTACCATTTGATAATAGAAAAAAAAGAATCTCTTCTCTCATATTGTTTCTGTCTTTGAGGAGAGTATGTGTGTGTGTGTGTGTGTGGTCTATATTTCTCTCGTTTTTCTTTTTTCCATCATTATATTCACTTAATAGATGATATATATATATATGAGACACAAGAGAGAGAGAGAGAGAAAAATCAACATGTAGGCAAATATCCATGGATGATAGATAAACTAAGCTACCATACCAATCGTTAGGAGCATTGTAGATCTCTTTTTTTTTTTTTTTTTATATTCTCTCATTCCGTTCTTGTTATATCCGTTTCTTTATTAGCCGTGAATGTGCGATAGGGGACACAAAAAATAAAAAAAATAAATAAAAAGAAGCTGTCATCTATTCAATAATAATAAAATAAAATAAAAAACATAATAGACAAAAGAAATGAATCGTATGTTTACTTATCATCTAGATAGGGCAATTTTTTTTCAGTGATTCGGTTGTTTTTTATCAGTTATTATTACATTTAATATAAGTATACAAGACAAAAGAAAAAACAGAAAAAGACATATCACTTTAGTATCATTCAGTACCCAAGGCAATATTGATAAATAGTTGTTTACTATTTGAAAAAAATATATAAGAACAACCAGAATCTTATATATATATATATCTATTGAATTTTAAATGTAACAGTTTGTTTACTCAATAGTCTATTCATACAATCGAAGTTTTTTCATCTCCATATGTGCACAGTATTGAGATTAGATGTTTATCTTACAGACAACAAGAGTATGTATATATACATATTGGTACAAAAGAAAGAACATTGCTTAGTCAAGGTTATACTGTTGACAGATAGCCGTTCTGTCTAAGACTCGTCGCATAACACATGCAATTACTAAAAGAACATAATTGGGAATATGGTAGAAAAGAAAAAAGAAAACAAAATAGACTATAGCAATCGATAGAATATTTGCTGAAGATATTTATATTCATATGAATAAATAAATGATTGAATACGGATTGCTTTTATTTTGTTTTGTTTTGTTTTAAGAATTTTTCTATACCTGTTGAATTTGATGATATTGACCAGTACTTGAAAATGAACCTGTTGTCATACTTGATAATGAACCACCACGACTTATATGTTCAAATTCATCAGATATATTATCAGCTATTTCTTGTGATCGTCTATATAATAAAAGAAAAAAAAAAAAACTTAGCAAAATTAATCAACAAGAAAATCAATGATGTCCTTTGATTATATGTCCTTTCCATTGAATCGTATTTATTGTTATATTCTATGGCTATGAATAGAATACGATCTGACTATCATCATCATAGAAAAAAAAAAAACAGATTGTGTATTTCATTACTGAAACAAACATTATTGAAAAGAAAGATCATCGAATTTTTCTCTCGATGTTAATCTCTATTTTGGCAATGATTATTTTCGGATATTTCATATATTACAAGTTATCATCTTATGCTATCATTGATAGATTTGATTATCGATATGTAAATTGCTGAATTTCGATGAAATGTACTATGATAAAATAATATATTGAGTTTATAATCTAGTCGAATATAGAATTTAAGAATATTATAAATTGAAAGACTAAGATTTCCTTGAATAACTGTCCTTTTCCATTCGAGTTCGTATTATTACTACTAAAATGTCCTCTAATTTGATTGGCTATATATATTTTCTATTTCTGTTATTTATACAAGGAACAAAAAAAAAGCAAAAGATTAACATATTAGTCGTATATTCTTCAACTAGGATAATTATCTCCAAATACTGATCAATAAAACTCATAGAATAACATAAAAGCAAAAAAAAAAAAAAACAATTAATTTTGCATGATTTCCTACCTATCTGACTGATTAGTATTAATAAACTGTGAAATTTTATTTTGTATTGTTGTTTGTTTCGTATTTGTTTCATGCATTGATAAATCATGATAAAGATCATTCTCTTGAATAAGTTCTCGTATTCGAATAACCCATTGTTGTTTTGTACTTAGATCATTTGCCTATAACGAAAAAAAAACAAAAATCATAATTCATATTGTTTATCGTTTTTTTTTTAATTTAATTACTTTAAGTGTTACTCGAAGATCAGCTGTATGTGATGACATTGGACGACCTGTATATAAAGCAAATTTACATGGTTCACCTGCTTCTAAATGTTCTTTAACATCAAAGATTTCAGCAGTCTAAAAAAAAAAATCAAATCAAATGTTTCTTTTTTTTTTTTATAAAATAAATTTTAAACAAACCATTAATTTATATTTATAAATATATCGAACAGTTCCACGTGCAACAGGTTTAAGAATTTTTGCAATTACAATACTTGTTTCAAATAGAAAAACATGTCGTTCTTTTCCTTTTTTTATAATTTGTTTTGAATCCCATATTTGAAATGTATTTTGTAGGAGTACATCACCTAATGCTTCTTTTGTTAAACCAGACTATATATATTAAAAATAAAAATTTAATAACAAAAAAAAAATAAAATTAATTGTTTTAAAATACAAACTTCAAGTTCTTCAAGATAACTAAGATGCATAGCATCATTTGCTTTTTTTGGTACACTACACATAAGATCATAACCTTCTTTAACTTCACCTTTAGATTCTTCACAACAAGACATTAAACGTTGTAATAATAATTCATATTTAGTTATACGTTGAACAGGTTTAATTAAATAAGAATTAATTGTATCAATTTGATATTTATGTTGAATTGTCTAAAAATAAAATCTTAACATTATAGGATATTGTTGTCGAGTTGATTAACTATGGCATTATAAGAAAATGTCGATAGGCAAAAAGAAAAAAACAATAATAGACAAAGTGTCTACAACGGATACTTTTCTAATTCAGTTCAAAGTATAAACCTAATTTTATTTCAAAATCAAAATATTGATTTTTATAAAGCAAAAAAAAAAAGGAAAGATCATCATTTCGATCAAAAAAAATCAGCATGGGAGACTTTTTTTCAAAGAAGTTATTGGTAAAAACAAAAATTAACGCAACACAAAAGGATATCGATGTTAACTTTCTGTGATTTAGGAAGTATTTTTTTTTTGAAAAATAAATAATACATTCCGTACGTAACTTCTGAAGACGATTTTCGATAGTGATGTGATAGCGTACGAAAAAGAAATGCTCTTACCATAAGTATGGTACGAGAGATGTTTTCTAATTAATTTTTAATTAACAGTCAATGGAAAGAACAAACATTTTTACATCTGTTAAAACAATTTACTCAGAAAAAATAATCTCTTAAAGTCAAATGAAAGATCGTTTTGTTTGAAATGACTTATATAATTACTATGAATTTTAAAAATTGAATTCTCCAATGTATAATTAATAAGTTATAGATCGATAGGTTCAACAATAGGAAATGCTACAGTGCAAATCTCTTCTGGCAATAGAAAAAGGTTTACAACATATTGCTTGATGCGTATAATTGTTAAGAAACTTATACTAATACAAAACAAAACAAAAAAGAAAGCTTTTCTAATAAAATGCATTAAAGCATAAGAATAAACTAAACAGATGCTATTGGCAAAATTGAAAATCGCTGTAAGAAATACATGTCTCTTGTATGAATTAAAATTTTTAAACGACTATATTCATAAAAGTCTTTTATAATGTCTCCTTTCTTTTTTCTTAATAAGATTTTTCAAAAATTCTAATACGATTTCGACAATTCGAAACAAGACTTTACGAGACTATAAAAAATAACATTTATCTCAATATTTTAAAATTTCGCGCTCAAAACTCTAAAAAAAATATTTAAATATAAGAAAACTCTTCTCTTATATTCGATGTAACATTCTTCTAAAGATAGTTTTCTATTGCAAGTGGATATAAACATCAATTCCGTCAAAGCTGAGACCAATACTTATTCATAGAGAACGATGGATGTATAAAACTTTCGTTAAAGGTCATACTGTCATGACTCATTTATTCTTAATAAATATGGGCAAAGTGATCTGAATTACGAGAGCATCAGACCGTAACCGTACATTTTCTCTATCTATTCAAAATAATGATGAATAGATTTCATCAAAATTTCAGCGAAAAAAATAATGAAATACTGAATAAACATCGAGCTCTATTTGTATTATTAATACTTTACCTCAAAATATGGACCACGATATTGTGTTAATAATTTAATACATGATTCATTATTTTTACAATATTCAACATAATAAATATGAAATTGTTTAGCCTAAAAAAGAAAAAAATTAAATAAAAATTTGAACATTTTGATTAACTAAATTTTATTTACCCATGTAACAAAACAATGACCAACATCTTCTGGACTATCTTCATATCTTTCTAAATCTTTGAGGAATAAACTAGACAAAAAAAAGAAAAAGAAAGAAGTTTTTAATTAATTATTTATCTTATTTTATATTTCAAAAACTAAATTCGATATTTTTACTTCTTATGAAAATTATGAATTTCTTCAATATTTAAAAATAATATTGATTCTTTATTACGTAAAAATTCTGGTACATCTTCAGAATGTTGACGCATTTCACCCATATAATACTACAAATAGTAAAATTCTTATTTAAACTTAAACAATATGTTTCTTTTAACTTACTTGAATACATTTACTTAAACTATCAACATATGCACGTTCTGTATTAAGTAATTCATTAAAAATTAATCTTAATTTAGAAAAAAAAACAAATTCAATGAATATTTAATTAAAATAATTTTGTTTTGTTTTTTTACTCTCGTTGTTTTGCTGCTTTACGTTTTCCTTCATTTAATTCTTGTTGTTCTAATTTTTCTTCTAAACTTGAATCACTTTTACGACCAGCTTCTTTGTCAATTTCCTTATAAAAAAGAAAACAAAATTTATTTTTTCATTTTATTCAAAAAAAAAACAAAACAAAACATAATACAAACTTCTTTATTATTAATTCTCATGATTTTTTGAAAAAAATTATTAAAACCAGAATCAAGTCGATTACATGTATCTTTAATAAGTGGTGCAAATGAATGTGAACGTTCTACTAATACATCAGCACGTTCAACTAATTTCCGTACCATTGTTTTCTTTTCCTAAAACAAACAAAATATATTTAATCTTAATTGAAAAATTCTTTTTACTACATCACTAAAGTGTTTTTCGAAATAGTAAAAAACACATATTATTATTAAATTCGTAGTTAATTAAAAAGAGTTATATTAATACTAAAAGAACTTATTCAGAAAAATAACCTTTCCAAAGAGTCAAATGAAAGATAAACATGTTCCATATTCTTGCTTTTAATTTCATCAATTAGAGGAAACATTTTTTCTTTTGTGTCATTCCCACGGAAAAATTTTTCAAGAAAAAACCGCGGTTTCATAAACCGCGAAAGTCAGACCTTTTATGCGGTTTGCAAATACCGCGGTGAGAACCGAGAAAATCGCGGTCCGAGCTGAGTTTTTGCAGGTCTAACCGCGGTTTTCTCGGTTCTCATCGCGGTATTTGCAAACCGCGGTTTTCGCCGGTTTCCAAAAACCGCATAAAAGGTCTGACTTTCGCGGTTTTTCAAAATGTGGAACAAAACCGCGGTTAACCTCAGATTACTGCGGTTTTTTTCGGAAGAATTTTTCCGTGGGTTATTAGGGGTCGACAAGCTCAGCTCAGTTCTGCTCAGAGGAACTGTTCGAACAGTTCTTTTGAACTGAGCTGAACTGGTTCGTTTGAGCTGTGTTCCCAAAACAGAACAATTTTGTTCTTTTATGGGAATTATTTCCCGAAAACGGAACAATTTTGTTCTGTTATGGGAATTATTTCCTGAAAACGGAACAAAAATGTTCTGTTTTGGGAACACAGCTCAAACGAACTAGTTCAGCTCAGCTCAAAAGAGCTGTTCGAACAGTTCCTCTGAGCGGAGCTTGTCGACTCCTAGTCATTATATCATTAAGTTTTAATTTGAGAAAAAAAGTTTGAAATGTTTTCTATAGTATAAATTTTAAATTATTTAATTCATGTTATAATTAAATAGAACGTTTAATCTTTTGATTTTTATTTTCATGAAAAAAAAAAACTTTTGCGATATAGGATTTTAGTATCTAATTATATTTATTTTATATAAATGCTGACAAAAATCAGTAGTACATCACGTTTGAAAAAAAAAACGTACGTGCACTCATGACTTAAAGAACAAACTTTCATCTATGAAAATGTTTTTTTTTTTTAGCAAAATCTTTCTATCTGTTCAGATTTTCTTTTCTATACAGTTCTAATAGTTATACTTGAAACCGTAAAATAAACTTGAAAATGCTTAGTCGAAAAATTTCGTTAGTTTAAATTTATCCGAAACTAGACATGTACAAAATAGTTTAATACTACTAGACGTGTTCTTATTCTTATGTTTAGTTCCTTACTTGGTTATTTTGATTTCTTACAATGTCTATTACAAAATATTTAGACACAAGCAAAAATCTTTTGTCTATTATCATCTAAGTGATCTTCTCTTTTCTACGTTGTAGTTATTTGGATCTATTAAAACATAGATATTATCTGTTCTAATATTCTCTCTTGAATATTTTGTTGACAGACATGATAGCTAATAATGTGTTACAAAAAAAAATCCTAATAAATTAGAAATTACTTTTTTTTTCTTTTTGTACCAAACATGAAATCTTAAGGTCATTTTTTCAAATCTGAACTAGAATTTGTAGTTCGGTATATGTCTATTCAGAACTAATTATTACTGAAAGATTTGTTTATAAATTTATTAGGTATAAAAGGATGTTCGATAGGAGAAAAGTTGTTGTCAACAAAAATTTTCCTGATATTCCCAAAATCTAAAAACTACATCTTAAACTCCAAAATCAATTTCATAGAATGATATAACAACTGATTCTAGATGTTTCTAATTGAGCCCATCGTTTCCAATTTTTTTTTTGGGAAAAATATGACTTTTGTAATTTTCCTAAAAAATTGATGTACACTATTCGAATTCTTTATGTAACGAAAAAATATCGAAAATTAAATCTGTGTAATCAATTATATTTGAAAAGTTTAATAAACAAACCTTAAGTGCTCGAACAAAATCCATATAACCATCATCATTAATATCTAATTCTTCAAGTTTTGATACAAAACATTCATCATGTTCATCAATCCATACAAAAACTTTATCTGTATTACGTTTAAATGAAATATATTGTAAATATTCATCAATTATTTTTTTTCTATGATGCCATGCATTTAAAACTGTATCTTCTTTATTTTTTAATATTGTTGAAACATCTATATATAAACAAAAAAAAGCGTTATAAATATTTCTTTATAATAAAAAAAAAAATTATTAATATTTAATTACTTTTAATTTTTTGTTCAAGTGGTTTTAAATAAGCTTCTGGTTTTATTAAATTAGCTGCATTACGAAGTGCATATTTATGAAATAAATCTGATTTTTGACGAGCAACTGTACATGCCTAATTAATAAATAGAAATTTTATATTTACTTTTTAATCCAAAAAACAAAATACAAACTCGTAAGAAACTATGTTTATTTTCATCAAGTTGTTCTAAACGATCTGCTAAAATTTTTTGTATTTCATCATCATTATAAATTTTTAATTTTTCATGTATATCTTCAACAGTACGATATTCACGTTCAAGTGTATCTAACATTTGTGAAACCTAAAAATTAAATTAAATTTATCGAAAAACAAAAAAAAGAATATCAAATATTATATATATATATACTTGTTCAGATGATTTATAAAAAATAATTTGTGCATTAATTAATCTTAAACGATCTTCAAATTGTAATTGAACTTTTTGTCGTGCTGATATTAATGTATTTATTAATTCACTTGGACCTGATGATGAATCATTATTTGATATAACAGTAGATAATTTTTCTGTTTTACGTTGAAGAATATCAATACGTTCACATATTCTCTATAGAAAAAGTAATATTAAAAACAGTGTTTTTTTTTTGTCCAGGATTTTTTCTTCGGAGGGGCGATTTGAATTTCCGAGGGAGCGAAAAATTATTTTCGGGAGGGCAAGTCATGTATTCGTAGCACGATTATCACAAGTCTCGGGGGGGGGAGGGGCGGCGCCCTCCCCTCGGCACCCCTCTGGATAAAACACTGATTAAAAAGTTGATTTGTTTAATTAAACATGTTTTCAAGGACAGAGTCTTTAAGAAAATTAAAATTCTAGTTTAAAATATAATATAGAACGATAGAGCAAACAAGTTTTTACAAAAATTAGACATTTTATTCTATCTCAGTCGAAAAATATCGCAGAGAATTTTGTACGCATTTGATTTTATACAGTCTAAATAAAATGATATTTTTTTAACTTGAATTATGATTTTGCCTATTCAAATCATTATTTGGATTTTTGTTTTTTTTTTTTTGAAATATATAGATCAACATAAAAAGACTTGAAAATAAATCTTGATGAATAATTTTGCTACTGAATGTATATTAAATCAATTAACTGTTAACTTGTGCCCTATATATTCTTTCTAATAGATCCCAAATGTCTAAGAAAAATATATTGTTCATTAGAGAATAAACTTAATGATAAACAGAATATTTTCTTGACCTAGAACTAAGTACTTTTATGAAGGAAAACATTGAAATAAATTCAAAATAAGTTACATATGAAAAATTAATCTAGAGGGATGATCAATTAGTTATCATAGGTGATTGAAAATTTATTTTTTTTTAGACAAGATGTTTATTTATGTTGACCTATATAAAAAAAACACTTCAGACGAGGGAAAAATTTCTCACTTCGTATTCAAATTTAAGCAAAAAATGAAAATTTCTCAGACGTAAATCTCTATTTTTGATTAGTTTCATACCAATACATAGAACTTGATCACGATGACATAGAACATCCTTGTTCAGAAATTGTCTTAGAAGGATTAGATCAATCTCAAGGTTACACAATTAACAATAAACTGTCATTTTGGAAAATTTTACCTCCAAAGCTTTAACACTGAATAACTGTATAGAAAAAGAAATTCGAACCTTCGTCTTATGCTTAATACTATTTAGAATATGGCATAATTAATAGTCTTATCAGATACTTTGTTTTCAATAATGTACATTTTATTCAGCTGTTCTTTCTTATATTTTTGTGCTAGAGTACAATAGATAAGACATGCCCTTAAACTATGGCCAACATGTATGTTTAATGTGTACCATTAATAAATAAGTATATAATTGAAATTTGAAAAAATAATTAAATTCAATACATTTACCATAATAATACTCTTGAAATATTCAAAATATAGAACGTAGTTTAAGATTTCTATCTAAGATGTGTACAATTATTCGATGTTAAAGATTTGAAATGAAAATTTTCAACATTGAATTTTTCTATTTTTGAAATTCTTTTAACCTCTTAAAGACAACCCCTATGGAGACAAAAAAAAAATACTTTATCTCATCATGATTCGCTTATTGTATTCTACAAACTAGCGTGAGATTGATTGAAAACGGAGACGTACACTTAATGACCTTCCTTCATAAGAAAAACTTCTATTTTTGTCCTTCAGGATAAGATAATTCGAAAAACAAATAATCGGTAGGCAAAACAAACATTGAGTATTGGTATATTATTTTCGTTATTATCATTGATCAAAAGTTCTCCGTAGACCACCAGAGTGAAGGGGGGGAGATGAGTTTTTCCTATTTTATTTTTCTTATATAATTACATAGACTTACATCAACAAATGGTTTAATATCTTCATGATCCCGATGGAATTTTTCAGCATCAGTTAGACTAATAGCTAATGTTAAATTTGATGCTAATTTTGCTTCAAAATTATTAATCATAATTTTGATCTAAATTATAATAATAATTTTTTTTGTTGTTGAAACTGTTAAAATGAATGTCTTACTTCATTCCAATCTCTTTCAAGTCTTACAAATTGTACACTCCATAGAATAAGTTTTTGTTGTTGTGTTGCTAATTCTGATAATTTTTGTTCACGATCATTCATTACTAATATTAAATTACGAATTTGATCTGATGATGGTATTAATGATTGTTGTTGATTTGAATTAACAGAATTTGATGATTCATTAATTGATGATATCGATGATAAAGATGAAGATTGTTGTTGATCAAGTTTTACTTTAAATTCTTGTGATTTTTCCATTAACTATTGAAACCAAACAAAAAAAAAATCATATAAATATATATATATATATATATAAGACAAAACGATAGATAATATATTCATCGATTTATCTATAGGGGGTGACAGTCATCTGTGATAACAAACATATAGAAGCAGAAGAAGTCAAGATAGAAGAAAAAAAAAAAAAGTAAATCTCTTGAGATTACTTACACTGAGCAAGTCTCTACCACGTTGCACGACTTGTGCAACGCGTGTATGTATATGTTCTTGCACTTGGGCCCAATCATCCACTTTACCAGTCGTTCGATCGCTACTATGATGATGAGAACGATGTCGTGTTGTTGATGTACCTCCATTAATGAGCGTTTGTAATGCTAATGGAAGAGCTGGTGGAATGATAACAGAACTAACAGAATTGGTCGATTGTTGTTGCTGTTGTTGTTGTTGTTGATGTTGTTGTTGCATTTTGACCAATTCGTGTGACCAAATATCAAGTAAATGTGACACCTTATGTGAAAAGAAGAAAAAAATTAAGGTAAATAATGTAACGCTGAAAAAAAAAGTATGACTCTTATTATTATTATTATTATTATCATCGATATATAGGTATCGCGCTTAGTAAGAGAACAAGCAAGGTGAATCGAATGCATGTATATAAGTGTGAATGTACACGAATGTAGCACACGTGGACATATGCAGAAGCAATCGTTCGTCTCCTCTCGTTTTTCTCTCTTCCGTGTCTCAAAATTAGGATATATAGCATTGGTTGTACTCTTCTTTTTTTTTTTTTTTTGTAGTCAATGCTGTTGTTTTTGTTGATGAGGATTAGTGACAAGTACTACTGTAATGCATACAATAAGTCCATTTATCACTACACTCTTCTCTATCTGACAACTGTCTGTCTTTTTTTGCTGCGCTAACAAGTTGCCAAATTGATGATGCGTCTTTCTTCGGTTTTTTTTTGTGTTGTTATCCAATGTTCTGTCTGTCTTTCACGCACACACACATATATATAAATATATTGACATTGCTAATGGTATGGTAGTAAACATAATGAAGCATCATTAATTATTTTTTCTGCTTTTTTTTTTTTTATATTCTTTAATAATACTATTGTTATTAATAGAATAATTTCAAGAATTTATCAAGGATAAGAGAAGACAAAAAAAAATTTATTTATTAAAAACAAAAAAGGCGAAAACAAGATATTGTTTGAGAGTCAGCTTTCCTGTCTTGTCACTGTCATAGAGATATAACACGTATGTTACTTAGTTCTTATCTAAATTCGATAAAAATATGGAAAAAAAAAAAAGAAAAGCACACGAATATTATTGAACTTAAACATATATATATCTGTAAATACTTAATAGACCAATTATACCTAAAACCTTGAAAAAACTTGTTATTTATATTTTATCTTAGTTAAATGTTTGTCTACAATGTCATTTGATTAACCTTGAATATCTCTTTTATATTCTCGACCTCACCTAAGAAAAATCTTACTTGTCAATTGATTTAAGTAAATTTAACTTGACTAATGATATTAATTATTAGTACATTGATGTAATTTTTTTCTTTTTTTTTACTTACTTCTCGTGAATATATTTCAAAATGTTTTATTTGTACAAATAATTCAACACGTAATCGTCGTTTTTCCCAAATTATTTCTAATTCATTAGTTTTTTTACGTATTGATTGAATTAAATTTAATAGATGTGTATATTGTGGTGATGATGTTGTATCATTTGGTGTTATCTTTGATTGAACTTCACTATTCACAAAAAAAAAAGAAAAAATTTAAAATTCTTCTTCTTAATTGTTTTGTATTTCATAACAAAAAAAAAAAGTATTTTCAAAATAATCTATTGACATCGATTATAATTTATTTACGTATGAATCCTTTCGTCATAAAATAATATAGGAAATGATTTTCTTTTTTTTTTGTCTTCATATCGGTCATGATAACCTCTTATGTTTTTTTATTTGCCATTTATTACCATTTACATAGATCAAATTCTATATGTTAGATATACTAATCATAGTTTCTTTTTTTTTTTTTGTTTGGTTAATTAATTTCCGACATTAACAAAATATTTGATATAAATTATATTCGACATTTGGATCTTTTTTTTTTTTCTTCAAATCAACTTTTCTTTTTTTCTGTCATATTCATTATGTCTAATAATCATATATATATATAAAGGACACTGTACTCTTAATAGATTTTTTTTTCTTTCTTTCTTTCTTTCAAGTTCAAATTTTTTTTTTTTTTCGTTTGTTTATCTGTTTGTTCTAATTTAAAATTAAATATTAAAAAAAAAATGACAAACATACGTTAAATAATCTAAAAGAATTTGTCCTTCTTGTTCAATAGTTACACATGCTTCCATAGCTCCTTCATGTTGTTCAATTAAAGCTTCAAGCATATCTTCACAATTATTAACAATCATTTCATAATCATCATCATCACCACCTGTTGTTGACCAAACAAGTTCAACTTGTGATAACCAATCTGAATACTATTATTAAGAAAAAAAAAATGAAAATCATAATATTAAATAATATAAATATACTTCTTCACAATGTGTATGAAAATTAAGATTAACATCAAGTATATATCGACGACGAGCAACACGTTCATCAAATTCACGCATACGTCGTTCAAGATCATGTGCTAATTGATAAATTTTTGTACGACCTTGATTTAATTGTTTATCAGCATTATCTTCTTCAGTTTTTTGATTATTATTATTATTATTATTTATATTTGTTTGAGATTGTTTTTTTTGTTGTTGTTGTAATTGTTCATTATACATATTATCAGCAGCAGCTATTAAATTTTCTGCATTAGTTTTTGTATTCTATTAAAATAATAAAATTTCTGATAACAAAAAAGAGAAAAATTAATATCAAACTTTAATAGCCATTTCAAAATCTGTATGCATTTTATCAAGTTTTTTTGCTTGTCGAAGTGATTTTCCAATACCAACAGCAAGATTTTTTTGTAAAAAAGCATCACCATGTTTTTCAATCCAATCAAGAATCTAAAATATAAATATTTTTTTTAACAAAAAAAAAAAAACAGTAATTTACCTGTTGAACATCATTAGCAAATGCAACAAAACTAAGTCTTTGTTGTAAATATGCTTTACGTTGATTCCATTTAGCATCAAGATATCGATGATTAACTAAAATCTAATAAAAACAAAAAGAAACACAATGATTTGTAAAAAAACATTGAATTTTACTTCTTGAACAATTTCAAGAATATGTTTAGCACCAGCACGAAAATCAAATTGATAATCAGTTGTTGTCTGTTGTGATGGTGCTACAGAATCAATTATTGCTTTACCATCATTACAAATCTATTAACGAAAAAAAAACTTTATGTATACACGTTTATAGTAAAGAGTTTGACAATATAATAATGAATGAAACTAAGATAAATAACTTTTTTTTCTATTAAATATTAATCCCTATATATATTAAAATTTTGAATTTCAATTTGTAGTTTTTATGAACTATGTATGTAATGTAACATAATAATACATAGTATCTAGGGCGGTGCAGACATGGTTGTTCTTTGTACCTACACTCTAATTATCATGTCTTTTTTTTTTCTTCTGTTTATATCATTACTATTAAAATAGATAATGTCATCAGTTAATATATCATTGAAAACATTATTTCTAAGTACTCGAAGCTCATATAGATATACTTAAACAGGGGTCATTCTTTAAGTTATATAGAGCTCTCAGTTTTTTATACCTAAGAACTGATTAACAACGCAGAAAAAAACTTCTTCTCAAAAGAACTTCATGATATAGCTATTAATAATCACAGTTAGTAAAAATATTCCTAAGCTATTCGAATGTTAATTCGATTAAAGATTAAACATACTTGAGCATAAATTCTTGAAATATTTTCTGATAAATTAAAATGTTGTTGAAGTAAACGTTCTAAATGTTCCATACTTTCAATTGTTGTTAAATCATCTGTTAATGAACATAAATGTTTCCATGTTGGTACTTGTACAAGATACTATAAATAAAAATAAAAAAGACTTTTTTTTCAAAAAAAAAATTTTTTAGTTTTACTTCATCAGCTTTTTGATGAAATTGAAGTGAAGCTGTTAATATATTTGTACGATTATCAAGTAATCGTGTTAAACTTTCCCATTCATCATTTAAACGATTCATTTGATTTTTAATAGCATTTGTTGCATAATGTCCACTTGATATAAGTCGATCACCAACATTTTGTGTTCGACGTATAACTGTTTCATTATTCTAAATTTTGTATTTAATTATATTATAATTTTAATTCAATTAACTTACTAAACAAACTTTAGCAAATTGTTCATGTTCAGCTAAAAGTTGCATTGCTTGTGAACAACTTGAACCAATATCAGTATATTTTGGTCCAAGAATCAAACGACTATTTCCAATCCATGCACATAACTTTAATAAAAAAAAAAATTTTCTTATGATATATCATAGATGAAAGTGAAATATAGGTTTTCTATTGTTTGAACTTTTATTTACTGAATTTATGTTCCAAACTTTTGTTTAAAGATCGATATAAAATTTTTTTATTACAAAGGATTATTTTTTCAATAATTCAATATCCTGACGAAGAAATATTCTCTTTGGCTGAAAATTTCAAATTCAAATTCTATTACAGTGGACGTCAAAAGTCTCGCGCCACTTTTTTGTTTTGATTCGCATTTCAAAAATACACGACATAGATTCAATTTTCTTTTTATCTTCGGATAGCGGAGCTCAAGTACTATATGTATGTATATGTTTGAAATGAACCACCCTTGAATTGAAAACACAGGAAGAAAAAAAAAACAAAGTTCAGTAATGCGACAAAAACTACCCAAAAAAAGACAAAATGGTATGATTATTATCAGTTTTAGAAGTTCCACTAAGGTTTTGTTTGATATTTTTACATGAGTCGATAGATCTCGAAGAGCTCTACAAAACTGTCTATATTATAATTTTTTTGGAACCCCTTTTTGTGGGACAAAAAATTACAAGAAAATCGTATTTTGATGCTTTTCTGGTATAAAAAAAATTCTCGACTTTTCATATAGAACAAATAAAACATGCGATTATTTTGTATTTTTTTTTGTCCCAGAAAAGGGTTCACAAAATTTTTAATATAGACAGTTTTGTAGAGCTCTTCGAGATCTATCGATTCATGTAAAAATATCAAACAAAATCTTATTCGATTTTCGCATTACTGACATCTTACTCAAAATCATAACAGCCGTATCAGCTTGTCTTTTTTTTTCTTGTATTTCAGATTCAATGATTATTCATTTTAAACATATAATACTCGAGCTCCGCTATCCGAAGATAAAAAGAAAATTGAATATATGTCGTGTAGTTTTGAAATACGAACCAAAACAAAAAAAGTGGTGCGAGACTTTTAGCGTCCAGTGTATTTGATTTTATGAAAACATAATATAATTATTTCCTTGACTATTATCGTTTGATACATAAATTTATATCATAGATATATGTCTTGTTACTCATTGTATTCTATTATAAACAATATGAATTTGTTCAGAAAACTTCAACATATTAATGATTTAAAAAAAAAAGAAGCTGTTAGTGTGATCCCTAGGGGATTAAGCTATGAAACATGATACAGCTATTAGTATTGTAAAAGCGAAAATTAATCAATAGATGTTTTAGTTTATGAATTTCTCTTTACTATTATTGCAGTGAGTGTGAACAAAAAAAAAAGTGAAGGATACTTCTTATACTAATTCCATAGTGAATATTTAACCTTACGGCTATGATGGGTGAAAATTTCTACTTCTATACTCTTTTATATTTCATAAAATAAGTCCATTTGTTAATAGAAAAACTAATGTTTTTAATTAAATATCATATTTACTCGATCACAATCTTGTTCAAATAATCTTAATTGTAAATTTTGTTCTAAACGATTTTTTTTTTGATGCCATAATTGAAAACATCGTTCTTTTGCTGAACGAAGATTATCCATAACCTTAGAGGGGGAGGGGAAGAAAAAAAAATAAATTTTTTTTTGTTTTTAATTTTTTTTGTATTTATCTTACTAATGAAATTTTTCTTGCTTCATCAAAATAATCTAATGGATATGTTCGTTGTTGATGTGTTTTTAATATTAAATTTTCATTTTCTAAATTATTTCCTTTTAACATATTTAATAAATGTTGTCCATCATTTATTAATGGTTCAATATTAACACGTGATAATTGATCTTTAAATACTGTCATATGTGTTTCAATAGCATCTTGTGCTCGAATAACATTATTTGATAGATCAGTTTGTTGTAAATCATTATAAAGTAATTCATATGCATGTAATGTTTCTTTTGAATTATATACAAATGATTCTAAATTCTTAATTGATGAAAATAAAAAAATAAAAAATCTTGTTCATTTTTTTTTTTTTGATTATTTAACTTACTAAACGAAAATCTAACCAATGAATATGATTATATGGAAATATTCCATTTAAATCTGATGTTAATTGATTACGATCAATAGCATAAGTTAAACTTTCAAGTGATTCAACTGAATGCTAAAAAAAAAAGTATTATAATACGGTTGAAAATTTTTTTATCTATACGAATAATTTGTCAAGTAGGTTTACAGCACACTCGAACTAAAGATCCGAGTTCAAATCGAACAGTTTAAATATTTTTCAACTATCATTAAGTCTTTTCTTGGATCATTTATTTCATTCTTTGTAGACCTATTATAAAACTCTATATGATCAATTTTCAATACATTATTCATAATCATCGTGAAAAGACATTTTAAAAGTTCTAAGGAGAAGAACTCGACGAGTCAACAAAAAAAAAAACCCTTTCCGATGAAAAAACATCGGTTCAATGATAATATCTTTTTTTTTATTCATACTTCAAATGTATATTTCGACATGCCAAGTGATATTTTATGTTTATCCCAAAATCCATCCGGTTTAACAATATATACATGTTCAATTTTATATGGAAATTGTTCCTAAAATTTTCGAGAAAAGAAAATTAATGATTAAATTTATTTCTTATTATCACAAACTTGTAGAACTTTAAATATATGTTTACAATTTTCCCATGTACGTTGTCGCATATCAACAATAAAAGTAAATCTTGGATCACCATTTGATGAACTAATTAAGATAAAAAAACAAAAAAAAAAGATAATTTACAATTTCATTTTTATTTACTTAATTGATGCTAAATAAATAAGAAGTTTTTTTAATTCTTCACCAGATAATTTTTCAATAGATGATGAACTTGGAAATGTTATTATTAAATAACCTTTCTTATCAATAGCTCCTACAAAAAACAATACATATTAAAAGTAATAAACATAAATTATTATATACCACTGAGAAATGCATATTTTTCTTCAAGATAAGATTTAATTTCAGCTGCTTTCATTATAATTTTTTAATCGTCATATGTATACAAACAAAGGATATATCCGTATATGGATTAATTGAACATATTGAACAGATAGATTGTATTTGATGCCATTGTTATTATCATTTTAGCGCCACATTCGTTTTTTATATATTATTGATTCTAGCGAACTTTCTTATTGATTGTATTATTAAGTAACCAACGAGAATTATTGTCGCGAGAGTTGCTTATACTTACAGATAGAGATAGATAGGTGACCTCTCGAAATACTTGCGACATGTCTGCTATCAATCAACAACAAATAGAGGAACTATATGATTATCATTTGATGATGCTAACTATATATGTATGCCAATAAATTTTATTGATGAAAGATATATGTCTGACAAAAAGAAATATTTTTATTCTTGACTAACAACACTTGTAAAACTTGTTCTACTATTTGAAGAATTTTTGTTTTTTGATATACAATAAATTGCAATGATTGTTATGATTATTAATGTAATAATACCAATAGTAATACCACCATAAAGTAGAATATTGTTCAAGCCTTTATTTGAATTGTCATCACCTATACGAATGTATTAATGAATAAAAGGTGAAAAAAGAAAAGATTTGTACATACCAGAAGATGAAAGACCAAGTACTGATTGTTCGTCATTGATATTATTGGCATTTCCTATTAATTTTAAACAAAGTAAAATATCAATTAAATGATTTAAAGTCTATGAAAATATAATACTATGAATACTCTAAAAAACAGTTCGAATTTTTAGCTTATCGCTGCAGAGATACTTCAACAATGAGAAGCTACTGAAATTTATCAATTAAAAGTATGTTTGATATTAAAACGTATAACGGGATCTATATAGAAAGACTACGAGAAAAATAATTGCTTGAAGTTACTGGTAATAGTAAAGTATTTTTTGACTAGATGCTGCGATCTCCTTCATGATCGTCAGGAAAATTTGACTTTAAGAAACTTATTGTATGTATCTGATGATATAATTATTCTTTTTTAGAGTATTTATACCTCAGCAAGTTTTATATGATGCAGATAGGCCCGACTCAAAAATGATTAATCTGTTGGAGAATTTTTTTTTGTTAGTAAATTTAATCTGTATCTATCTTACGAATAAAAAAAATTCATTTTATTCACCATTTGACTGCAATTGATTTTGATTTGTATTTCCAACTAGATTGAAAAAGAAATATATATATATAATATCATATGATTAGTAGAATTTTCGTATATTTATTTTTTACTTAATGAATTTCCTAATGCATTAGAAATTTGACCGGCAGCATTAATTCCACCTGTGAGAGCATCTACAACATTATTAACATTCGAACCAGTCTTTTTGGTTGTTGTTGTTGTTTTTGCAGTTGTTTTTATAGTTGTTCGTAAAGTAGTACGTTTAGTCGTTACAGCTGGTACTTTAGCTCTAAGGTTTATCTCTGAACGTTCTATCTCAGCTTTATTTGTTTCTAATTTAGATTGAATGAGAGGTGATGCTAAATATAAGAATTATATTCTTTTTTTATGTTTAATAAGAATAAATTAACCTTCACATATATACTGAGATTGTTGAATACATGAAACATATTGAAGACAGATAGTATTTGTTATACTATTTTGTCGTATTTGTATACAATCAAAAAAATCTTCTTTTTCATCATTATTACACCATGTATATAATTCTGACCATTCTAAAAACAAAAACTGAAATCAAAATGAATCGAGAAAATAATTAACGACTAAAACAATAAGTATTAGTTTTGTTTGATCAACTGGAATCATCAGATTAATACAGATCGTATCAAAATGAACCGGAAAAAAAAGACAACTGATTGGAAGTAATGTTTTTCCTGATTATTCTTTTCATTAAGTAAACGTGTTTAATATGATTAGATTTAGAAAAAATTTTTTAAAAACTACTTCAAATGACTGAAATTGTCGACTCAATTTCGATTTCTCTTCTAGAATGTAATATGTAGAATTCAATTCTCTTATAAGAAAATTAATTTAATTAAACATATTGATACTAACTATTATTTATTCTCACCCATGCACCTTGATAAAAATAAAGACTAGCAATTAATTGATCATTTCCATTTAATAAATATTCAATTAGATTTTGCAAAGCTATAAATTCATGGATATTATTAATCATCAATGGTTGAGCAATCAATGATTTGCAAGTTTTCTTAGCTTTATACCATGTAACACCTGATGAATTACTGATAGCAAATAGAAGACATTTATTTGTTTGTAGCTTTAACCAACCAGGAGCACAACCATAACAAGCATGAATATCTTCATGCCAAAAATATGGTTGAGGACATGTACAAGTATGACTTTCAATATTACACATTAATTCAAGATCACAATCATCATCTATTGAACATTTTTTCTCAATTGTAATTGAAACTATCTTAATATATACATACATTAAAATCATAGTTAAATTACCTATATAGAATAATTACCAGAATAAGATAGAATTAGAATTATGATAAGAAATGAAACGATGAAGTGAAACTGAAGTGATGATATAAACATAGTAATATAAATTTATTACAATTTAAGATAATTATGAGTAATAATAATATTTATAAAATAGGTAAATACAATAAACTTGGTTTCCTAGGAGTTTATATCATTTTAAAATACAAAAGTTATTATTCACAATAGTATTAATATTTAGTAAATGAAGAATAGAAGTATGGACCTTCGTCGATCCATGCGTTAGTTTATATATCTACCAAAGAATTTCTTTCTTTGGCAATTCCCATATTGAGAAGGTTATTTTGTTTTTAGTAAAGAAAAAAAACTCATGTCACGAAGAATTATGCTTTTTTTCCATCTTAATGGGATCCATTTAAAAAAATGTCGTCAAACTGAATCCAAGTCAAACAATCAGATAGTAAAACCTTAGAATAAATCGGAGTATAAAAATGAATTATATGATACAATTTAGTGTGAAATTTCGGACACTACGAAAATGATAGAGAATAGAGTAAAAAAAATTTTTGTTTTATTATAATATTTATTCCAAAATCTAAAAT